GTTATTTTTTAATAAGTTTTTTTTTGAAAATTTTGTACATGAATGTACTACATTTATATCAATTTTACTCCCTTTCCAATTCCTTTAGAGTTCCCCCAATTCCTTCCCAACTTCATGACCTCTTTTCATAATTATAATTGTTACATATATACATACACACATGTGTGTATGTTTGTGTATGTGTGAACATACAACCTATTTAGTCCATCTAGTAATGCTCATGTGTACATACATTTAGGTCTAATTACTTGAGACTGGACAATCTGTAAGAGGTCTCTTCCACTGGGCAGTGGTGGTACATGCCTTTAATCCCAGCACTCAGTGAGATCTCTGAGATTGAGGCCAGCCTGGTCTATAGAGTGAGTTCCCAGATAGGCTGCGAAACTACACAGAGAAACCCTGTCTTGAAAACAAAATAGAAAAAAGTGGTCTCTTCCTTCAGCAGCCACTGATTACCTATATATAGTTCTTCATCTAGGTGTGGGGCCTTATGCATTTTCCCTATCCCCTTTGGTGTATCCAGTGGTGTGGTCAGTGTGCAGATCTTGTATGGACAGCCATGTTCTTGAGATTTCATGGCTATAGTATCCTTCTTACATCTCAGTATCTTTCAGTAGGCATCCCAGTCCTCTGGCTCTTAAATATTTCCACTCATCTTCCACGATGTTCCTTGAGCCTTAGGTGTGGAGGGGAAGGCTGTATTATAGATGTACTGATTGTATCTGTGTACCCTTGATTCGCTTGTTCTTTACATTTTAACAAATTGTAGATCTCAATAGTAGAACAGTGTGGACAGAGTAAGTAGGAAATGGAATGTAAAAGGTCAGAGTGGCTGAACTGTGCCAACTGCACCGTTTTAATGGAAAAAATTACTAAGAAGCAGTTATAAGAGAAATTTCAAGGATAGAAGATTATGAATATATAATCACGGAAGCTTCAAAGATGTTCATGTTACTATGTAACCTAATATGGCTGGAGAAGAGGAATGTAGAAGTATATAAAAATTTAGTCTTATCAAGGTGGACAAAGGGCAGACTTTAAAGTTTCATGTGCGATGAGGAGGGCCACCTAATCTATCTAATGCCACTTCTAGGCCACTGTTCTACAGATTAGTCAATTCAGTACCCATTACAGACCTAGGAAATGTGTTATTGTTTAGATGTGGCTGAGAGGCCCTGAGCTATAAAACAAGTTTTGAAGAGGTTTCTAATAAAACATGTTTGTCTTACTCTGTACTAAATTTCAAACTGCTATAGAACTAGAGTTGAGGAGGTTTCTAATAAAACATGTTTGTCTTACTCTGTACTAAATTTCAAACTAGTTTCCCTATTTAAAAACAAAAACATAGAAGTAATGTTTTAATCTGTTTTGTTTTTAAGTAGAGAAACTAAAATAAAAGTAAGCCTTTATCTAAGTACTTATTACTATGGTTTCCTTGAATAAATTCTTTTAGCTTGAGAGAAATGAAAAAAAAAAAAATATATATATATATATATATATATATATATATAACAAAGATTCCCAGTTGCCCTACTTTACTCTCTAAGGACCATTATACTTAAGCAATGCAAAGCAAAGGACAGCTGGGTAGAACTCAACATTCCTAAAGAATTCTATTCCTATTTCCTGTTCCTCTGGACTTTGCTAAAATGAAATATTAAGATATTGTAGGAATGAAATAATGAGCTGATTATCTGAAGGTCTAAACTGACTGAGAAGAGCCAAAATCTCATTTAATAGTTTCCTTCTGTTGGGTGGCATTTCCCTAACAAAGTTTTTATCTGGGAAAAACCTTACTATACATACTTGTTTGTGACATTATCTCTTGACAAAGCCCCTGTTCATTTTCTTTTCATTTTTATAATGTGCTTTCATTGTCATTATTTTGACAAGGAAGCACATAGTTAGGCATATGTACACAAATGTATAAAGTATATATGCAAATGTATTTTACAATACATTTTGGATACAGAAGGGAGCTGCTAAGAATGCATTTAATAGATTATAAACATGAAAGTTTCAGGTGGGGGTGGGCATGCCTTTAATCCCAGCACTCTGGAGGCGAGGCAGGCAGATCTCTGTGAGTTCGAGACCACCCTGGTCTACAAGTACTAGTTCCAGGACAGGCTCCAAAGCTAGAGAAACCCTGTCTTGAAATAAATAAATAAGCATGAAAGTCAATCTGAATTAGAATGATTTAATTAATCTTTTGGAGAAAGACACTACATAAAAACTAATCTGAATAAGTAACTTGAAATGTAGATTTTAAGTTTTTTTGGTAAAGCTAATTTAAAATCTGATCATCCCTCTGTTGCCCAGGGTCATAGAGATCCTGTATAGATTAAGCATGGTACCTTATGCCTATAATTACAGCACTTGGGAGGTAGAAGGTGAAAAATGAGGAATCTAACATTAGCCGGGGCTACATAGTAAGTTTGAGGTGAGCCTGGATTATATGAAACGGTAACTCCAGGGTAGCGGGTTCTTTTTTTTTCCCTTTTGGTTTTTAAAATTATTTATTTTGTTTGCTTGCTTGTTTTTAAGAGTATGCTATAATTACAACATTGCCCCTTTCCCTTTCCTCCTCTAAACTCTCCTACATACCCTCCCCACTCCCCTTCAGATTCATGCCATCTCTTTGTAATCTGTTGTTGTTACTGCATGTACATATATGTATTTTCATATATGTATATTTCATATATTTCCAAATATAACTCAATATAATTGAGTTCATACATTGTTACTTGTATATATGTTTTCCAGGTTGACCTTTTGGCACTGAAGAACCAATTTGTGTGCCCTTAAGTGTTTATTGCAAAGACCCATTGTTCTGGTTTGAGTCCTCTGCTTTCTGTTGCACTATCAATGCTGGGCCCTCACTGGGACTCCTCTTGGATATCCTGCTGTTGCCCTGTATTGTGGGAATCCTGCAGCTTTGGGTCTGCAGGATTGGTCCCTTAACATGTTCAAGCAGACATCAATGGGGTGGGCCAAGTCATAGCCCTGGTTCTGGGCATGGGTAGTTGCAGGGTTGGTCAGCCCACAAGCTCTCCCCTGTCTTTACCACCTAGGTGAGCTCTTTAGCATTGACCTTGCTAGTTCACCCCTTGCCGAGGGATGGAACCAGTTCTCCTGCTCTCACATCCACAGGGTCAGCTCTCCCACACCTATACCTCAGAACCAGCTTTATTGTGTTGCCCAGGCAAGATGTAGGGACCACTCTCCCATGTATTGCAGCTGGTGAGGGGCAGGGACAGCTTTTGATCTTAACAACCTCAGGGTCAGCTCTCCCACCCGACACAGGCAGTGGGGGGCAGGGGGCATCATCTCTCCCCTGAATATGCGGGACAGAACCAGATCTCCCATGCTCAAGTGTTACGATAAATCTTTCTGCTAAAAGCAGCCTGAGCCCCACCGCCACGTGGGCAGTCTCCGCCAGCCGCCTGAGTTCTGCCCGCTGCGTGGATGGACAAAATAATACAGAGACATATTAGGTATAAAGCTGCTTGGCCAATGACTAGGATTTCTCATCTGTTAGCTCAGTCTTAATTATCATAAATCTATATATTTTATAAGACTTATCTTATAGAGGATGCCTTGTGCTGGCTCCCTCTCTTACGGGTGGATCACATGACGCCGCTGGAGGAAGAGCGGAGGGGAAAAGAGGACACTTCCTTCCTGTTTCTCCTTGCTCAAATATGAGTCTCCTTGCTATGTCACTTCCGGCCTGGATCACTTCTCTACTACATTTCCCAGAATCCTCTTTGACTCCTAGTCCTGTCTAACTTGCTGTTTCATTGGCCAAACAGAACTTTATTAACCAATCAATAAAATAAACATACACAGAAGTACTTCCCCCATCACTCAAGTTCTTGGGCAGTTCACCTGCACCCAACTCTACTATGCTGCCCAGGTGAGGAGCAGGGCCCACGTTCCTGAGGGCTGCTTGGGGGGTGGTGAGGTCCCTTATCTGTCGAAGACAGTAAGGGGCAAGGGATAAGGTGGGGGACATCTCTTTCTGGCCCACACTGCTAAATGACAGACAATAATGGGGACAGCTTTCCCACGATCACAGCTTTGGGGCTGGCTCAACCACACCTCCGCCAACAGGCTTGGCTGTATCGTGCTGCCCAGGTGAGGTGCAGGGCCTGCTCTCCTGAAAACTGCAGCTGGTAATTTTATCTTTCTTAATATATGTATATAGGGGTTGGGGAATGTGCACATGGAGCCCAGAGAATTGGCTGGAGTTACAAGCTGTTGTGAGCCATCTCTCCCTTTTCAGCCTATTACTGTATAGTGTTGTTGTTGGAAATAAAAGATATAATGTCTAGGCAAGGGGCTGTGTGTCTATAATCTCCTTGCTTAGAAAGCAGGAGAATCAGGAGTTCAAGGCCAGTCATGGCAACATAACAAGTTTGAAACCAGCCTTACTCCACTAGCACCACCCCAAAATGGAAAAAAGAAAAGGAAAGAAAAGTTAGATGAGAAGCACCTATGCAAGGGCCTGACAAACAAGCACTCAGTGGGTAGTGCCTATTTCTGTTGTGATGTTAGTTCACCTTGCAGTATTTAATTCAGATTGTAATGTGTGTATCTCATAGATCTTGCAAATTATTTGGTGGAGAAATTAATAAGTCCATGAATAAATGATAAATAGATAAAACATACTTGGAAAGTTATCAAATATTTTTTAAAGTACATTTAATGCCGTGTTTTCTTATTGAAGTCAATGTATGACAATATTTCATTAAAACTAAACATTCAGAAAAGGGTAAACTTTAGAGTTCTTGTATATTAGAGAAATATTGGCTCTGATATATTTTAAAGTTTGCTTTAAAACTTTACTTTTATAATAAAAGGCTAATATACCTTTATAATAAAAAGTCATGATTCAGACAATGTGGTTATCATAATCAGAATTCAGCAATTTATTGGATTGTGATTGTTTATACAAGCCTCTGATTTAGTAGTAACATTTTGAAATATTATTTTCTTAACAGCAACAGTTCATTGAATTGGATGACAATAGACAGAGATTGTTACAGAAGTGCAAGGAACTTATGAGGAGAGCTAGGCAAGTATGTAACCTGAGTGCAGACCAAGCCGTTCCCCAGGAATTTCAGACAGTAAGTATAAAATATATAATGCTGCAGTTGCCATAACACAGTATTTTTAAGTTTAAGATATCCTACTCTAGACATAGTAACAGGACATGAAAAACATGAAGTGTTATTTAAAAATACACTTTTCCCCATTCTTATGCTGATTATCATATACATAAAGTAACTTTGTTTAACTTACTTCCTCTCATATTTAGTCACCAGTCTTTGCTTAGTATTAAAATTCTTAAAATATGAGAATTTTCTTAAAATTACAACATAGCCTTCATGTTTACTATTAAAGTAGATCTTTACCCCTTGACCATCTTTGAGAATATAGTTGGCAGTGTGAAATATTCGTGGAAACTGGTTAGTTTGTTCTTTTGACAAATGCGATATTTAGAAAAACAAAGGCAAAAATATTTTCCTTAGAAGTCCTGGTGTTTAATTAGGGCACATCAGGTACTCAGGCTTCAGAATTGATACTTTCTTTGGGTCATATGCTAATATGTCAAGAGTCCAACCAAGCAATGCTGCCTTTCAGTTCACACTCCACCATTGATGTTGCCCCCTGTGTTCCTAGGCTTTATCTGACATTGAAGCCTTTCTGTGTACCTACTCAAACTAATATCAAAATAGTTGCTAATGCATTTTCGGTAGTATATCTGCACTTTGTAAGATCTTAAATATATCACCTTTCATAGATAATGAAATGTCCACTAAGCATGGAGGAAGACTAATGTAGATTGTAGTTGTCAGACCCTGGGAGGGTGTATTTTATGCTCTCAGACATAGAAACCAAGCATGGGTTTGATTGGATACAGAGTCAGATCAACAGAAATTTATAAAACTAATTGAGTAGTTTGTATCTAAAGATAATTATAGAACACATCTAAAATGTGTTTTGTTTTAATAAAATTGGTGTGATATCTATACTATAAGTTACAGTTTTTGTGTGTTGGGCATGGTGGCAGTTGCCTGTAGTACCAGCTCTTGGGAGGTAGAGGCAGGATGAGCCTAAGTTCAAGGTCTGCCTGGACTACATATAGAACTAAACTCTTCTCCACCCTGCCTTCTCACAAGTTATACTGTTTTAAAAAAATAAAATTAGAAATAATGTATTTATTAAAATTGGTTATCTGCTATGACCAAATATTAAGTAGGACAGACATGCTTCTGTCCTCACTGAAACTTGAACTCTGGTCTGGAGAATAGAACAAACAACATCAAAACAAATAGGTAAGGTCAGGCAGCAAGAGAGACTAAGAAAAAAAAATAAAGGTGATAGATAAAGTAGCAGGGATAGGCAGTTGCTTACAGATGGTTCCTTTGAGACTACATGATGAGAAGTCAGTCAAGTGGGGCTATGAAGCAAAGTATACCAAGCAGAGAAAATAGCTCATACAAAGCCACTGAGGTGCAAATATATTTAGCTTGTGTTAAAACAGAAGGAATCTTGATGGGATTAAAAATTACATTCCTTGATGGGCATGATAGCACACTGGAATCCCAGCACTGGAAAGACAGAGGCAGGTGGATCTCTGTGAGTCCAAGGACAGCCAGGGCCTGCTACACAGGGGAGGGAGGGGGGAATGCATTCCCAAAATTTGAGAAGCAGAGTCAGGCAGATCTCTGAGTTTGAGGCCAGCCAGGGATACACAGAGAAACTCTGTTTCACAAAACAAAAACAAAATTACATTACAAGCAGAGAGGAAGGCACAAGCCAGATTAGCATGGCCTTATAGAGTATACAAGAAGTTTTCTTTCTCCCTATAGTGTTAGAGATTAGGCAGGTACACTGCTAGTCTATGTCCTCAGCCCTGGGTTCTGTTCTCTTTGAGATAGAACCCCACTGGGGGAATTTAAATGCAGGAGTGGTATTATGTTCAGTTTATAGGTGAATACTCTTAACTGTTCTTGAAGAATAGATCTATAAGAAAGGAAACAAGAAAACCACTTTGACCATTATTATTTTGACTATGGAAGAGATTACATTAGCACAAAGGGATAAAGAAAGAGGGACTTTTACTTTAGTGATGGGTATGAGAGAGGTAAGGGAGAACTCCTAAATGTTTGCCTGGACAAACTGTGAAGCTCTTTACTGATGAGAAGTTGATTTGCTCACAGGGTGGGGAAGGTGGATGAGGTAGAAATTATGTTTCACTATCATAAATTTAGTATGCCTGTTAGAGTCTGGTAAAGATGCCATCAAGTAAGTGTTGGAACATAAGCTCACACACACCTCAACAGACAAGTCAAAGATGTCCATAACAAATACCAAGAGGCTTTTGTAGAAACTGTTCTAAAAGGTTAAAAAAGATACAAATCAAAGTTACCCAATAATATATATAACTCATCAGAACCTTTTTTAGGGCTTCAGATTCATTGCATACCTTTTACTGTGTAGCTCTGCAGGTTGTGCTAGGCAAAACAGTGTACTGCATGCCTCTTCTTGTAGGAAAGTATCTATCCTAATGAGTCTGTGGCATAGATTCAGAAGATAGTCTTGATGAAATTCTGTCTCAGTGATTGAATTCTAAGGATGCTTTTGTAGGTCTTCATGAGTACAGTATAAAGTTCTAACTTCTTGCTCTCTTTCAATGCCCCACATATTCTGGACCCATTCTACCAATTCAGCAAGTACCCACCATTCCAAATGGACACAGCTTCACACCCCCCATGGTATGCAGTACTCATTCTTTTTTCCAAGTCGTTTTCTCCTTTTTGCATTGCTTTTCCCTAGCCATTGCTTTGAGACCTGGAGATAAATTATAGGCCTTTGAATTCTTTTAACTCTCATGTAGCATGAACTGACACTTCATTATTTTAAATTCCAAAGCCTATATAATATGTACTGCTTATTTTAGACTCAACATCAATACATTGCCTTAAGGTACTATCCAACATGTATACATTTTGTTTTCTTTTAAAGTGTAAGCTTGTTAAAGGCAAAATTCCGTTTTAAGATTCCTTTGTATTGCTGTGTGCTAGCATGCTATTAATCAGATAGTAGACATGTAGCAAATTACTTTCTTTTAACTATCCTAATAAAACTTTCAGTATTCCATTTTTAACGATAGACTTTTTTTCTCTCTTTAGGCTTTCCAAGATCTTCCAAACACATTGGATGAAATTGATGCATTATTAACTGAAGAAAGATCAAGAGCTTCCTGCTTCACAGGACTGAATCCTACAGTATGCCTCTTTCTCTGTTTCTATCCTGCATCTCTCATACTGTGCACTGTGTACCTTCCCCAGTGCACACATACACATGTGCATGCATGCTTGCGCGCGCGCGCGCACACACACACACACACACACACACACACACACACACACACACAGAGCTCTCTCCAGTACTTGCCTCCCACTCTGTACTGGAGCTCTGGGTAATAATAAGCTAGACAGCAGGAACAATGCCTTAAATGCCAGATTCTGAATCTATTAGAATTTTAAATAGAGTCTTCCTACGGAACACAGTGTTCTGTGCCTTTTCTTTATAAAAAGAATAGTTGAGTTAACTTGAAATACAGCAGTGTGTATTTTTTCCAAGGATTAAAAAGTAGCACTTTCAGAGTGCAATAGCATAAATTAATTGCATACAAACAATGCAATGCAATTGGCGTTTTTAGCTAACTGCTTAATTGATGCAAATTTTTATATAATTTTATTCTTTGATAGATTTTTCTTAAAGAACTTTTTTTTTTAACCAGGTGGTTGAGGAATACACAAAAAGAGAAATAGAAATACAACAGTTAACTGAAGAACTAAAGGGGAAGAGAGTTGAACTAGATGAATACAGGGAAAATATTTCACAAGTAAGTTTTCATCTTTTTTCTTCTATGTTGACCATTGATGGGATTAGCTTATAAATTATGCAAAATAAATTTTACACTCCTAAGAGAAAAAGTATTTTCAGACCAGACTGACTGTTAACTAATTTGTTTTATGTAAAGTTTGATGTCAGAATGGATAATACTGCTTTCACTTTGTGCTTTTGTCTTTTATTTGTAGGTGAAAGAAAGGTGGCTGAACCCGTTAAAGGAGCTAGTAGAAAAAATCAATGAGAAGTTCAGCAACTTTTTTAGTTCCATGCAGTGTGCTGGTGAAGTTGATCTTCATACAGAAAATGAGGTAATTGCATTGGGGTTGTATTTTATAACTACTAATTTTGTTGTTGTTTTGTTTGTTTGTTTGTTTGTTTTTCAAGACAGGGTTTCTCTGTGGCTTTGGAGGATGTCCTGGAACTAGCTCTTGTACAGCAGGCTGGTCTTGAACTCACAGAGATCCACCTGCCTCTGCCTCCTGAGTGCTGGGTTTAAAGGCGTGTGCTACCAACACCCAGCATAACTAGTAATTTTAATTATGTGCAAAGGGTGCATGTAAATTTATTTACTTTGAAATTATACATGCAAAATTTGCTTACTGAAAAATTGTGAAAAGGAAGGCAAAGACCACCTGTGGATTTCTAACATTAGGTTTGCCTGGTTTTAGGATGGCGATGGTTTTACTAAATGGCTAATGCCTATCCATCTATTTTTAGGCAGTCTGAATAATGATTATTCAGCTGTATTGAATGAGTACAATGCTTTATAAATCTACCACTGCTCAACTTAATTGCCATAAAAAATTAGGAAACAAAACTGAAATACGGTTTATATCAATGAGGTTGAGTTTGTTTTTTTGTTTTGGTGTGTGGATGTGTGTGGTTGGTAATGGTAGTGGTGTTTTCTAATTTTTTGAGTTAGGGTCTCATATAGCCTAGGCTGGCTTAGAACTTGCTATGTAACCAAAGATGACTGAACTCTCCTGAGCCTCTTGCCTCTACCTCCCAATTAAGATGATAGACTTCCACTACCATGCTCAGTTTTCTTGGTTTCTTTTTTACCACAGATTTAGAAGATAATAGGAAATGTGCTAATTTCTTGAACTACAACTTTATGCATTGCTATTTTGGATAAAACAAATTTCCCATTATGAAAATTGTGTGAAGAAGGGCAGGAGGTATAGTGAAATGAGGTATGCTCAGCTGCATGAGGCCCTGGGTTTATTCCCCAGCACTATAAGCAGGTGAGGAAAGGGAGAAGAAGTGACTGATTTCTTTGAAAATAATTGGGAAAGTAGAATGAATGGAAAGGAGTATAAATGATGAAAGACTGGCAATTTTTGATCTTAGTTAAAAGTTTTTGTCGGTGCACTAGGGTCATTTTTGTATTCTCATTTTGCATGCACCAAAATGTTTCCAAAGTAAAATTTCTTTTAAGTAAAAATCAACTTAATAAAGAATATTTTTATATCTTTAAAATTTTGCATTTTAGCAAGTGTGTATGTTTTCATTCTGTTACATATATAAATATAAAGCAAATTAGCACCATTTGCTCCTTTGGGGAGTCTTGCCTTACTCTAACTAAAAAATGTATGTACAATACTTAGTTCCTGATATGCTTCCTTTGTGCCAGGCACTTGTAAGTCTGTCCTGTTTAATCACTTATAACTATCCTAAGAAGCAGGATGTTATATCCACCCTACTTAGAAAACAAACTGATCTTAGCGTTATATTAGTGAAAGTCACATTGCTATCGAGTGGCAAAGACTCAAACTTCTTATCTAATCCCAGAAAGAGCCTTAGCTCTTAGATAAATTTGATTACTGCTTGCATTACCCTCCTCAAAGTAACAACAGGATCTTTATCATTTATCAGTAGCTTGACTGTGTGGGGTAGTTATAAATGTGATAGTAAGCAAGGTGAGGCCTTTGTTACAGAAATCCCATCCTTTATGTCCCTGGGCATGGTACTCCTCTTTTATCTACACTGCTTCTTCTCAACAGTCTTCCTGTTTTCAATGCAGTGCTATAGAAAGACTGCTCATGCCTTTCAGTGTTCTGGACCTTCCCTCTTCTCAACCTTTCCACGTTATCTCCTTTCTGTTCTGGCCTCCTTAGTATTGGGAAATGACTTCTTTAACTGAAACATTGAGTGAGTGAGATGGGAGAAGCTAGAAGGAGGCAGAGAAAAAGATGATCGATTTCAAGGGTCAAAAAAAAACGCCAGTAAATCAAAGCCCATGTAGTCAAAAAATGACATAAGTTAATAAAATCATTACAGATTATTACAGTTCTTTCTTTGTTGTTTTGTTTTTCGAGATAGGGTTTCTCTGTGTAACAGCCCTGGCTGTCCTGAAACTTGCTCTGTAGACCAGCCTGGCCTTGAACCCACTGAGATTCACCTGTCTCTGCCTCTGCCTCCCAAGAGCTGGAATTAAAGGCCTACATCACCATGCTCTGCTCAGTTCTGTCAGTTGTTTACTTGGGGGTTTGAATGGAAAGGTTATCAGGCTAAGAATACTATTTGTAAAAATTTTAAGGCCTCTTTGAATCCATTTGCATTTATGCTTAAAGAAGTTTATAATTTGTAAAAGGAAGCTCTTGCTTTCTCACATGTCGGAAACTAGAATGTAGAACTCTCCCTCCTTGTAGCAGCAGAGTCCAAACTGGTGGCAAGAATCTTGGCATCACTAGCTTTTAGAAAGTATCTTCTGCTGTTTGACAGAGTATTGTTAAAAGGAATGCAGGCAAAACTGTAACCAAAAGTGGCAGCATGCTTCCAAGAGGGTCTCAAGGAAAAGTATTGCCTGCAGAAGTGATAGCTATGGGATAAGAATCCATAGGATAGCCTGGTACTGGTAGCACATGCCTTTAATGCCAGCAGAGGCAGGAGGATCTCTGTGAGTTAGAGGCAAAAACAGGAGATGTGGAAGGATTCAGCCAATTATCGTTAGAGTTGACACACAGTTGTTCTCCCAGATTATGGAAGCACTACAACACTTAAAAACAACAGGGATTGTCTCTGTTGTTAAAGGTGGTGCCATTCTTATAAAGAATGTGGACTGAAATCATTGTTAAGGTGGTATTCTGTGAACCTGCCTGTTCCACTGACATTCTGAGCTACTTCATCCATAAAAAACTGCCACACCTCCTTTATAAGTAACTGATGACATCCAAACTAAAATAATAAATAAAACACTTTTTGTTACTCATAGACCTCTGCTGTGAATACGTGCTACATACATATAATTTCAAAGATTTAGTATGAAAAATATAAAATATTCACTGATAACATTTTATATTGTTTGAATATATTGTATTAAATAAAATACACCATTGTATATTTACCTATTTTCTTTTTATGTTTTAAAAAAGTGACTGTTGTTGGCCCGTGGTGGCGCATGCCTTTAATCCCAGAACTTGGGAGGCAGAGGCAGGCGGCTTTCTGAGTTCAAGACCAGCCTGGTTGGTCTATAAGAGCTTTTTCTAGGACAGTCTCCAAAGCCACAGAGAAACCCTGCCTCACAAACAAACAAACAAACAAAAATGTGACTGTTGAATTGCCTGTTTCTTGTACTCTTTCTCTCTTGATTAGACACTTATCTAGACCATTTAACTAGTTAACTTTTAGCTAGTTAATGCTTCCCTTTTAAGGTAAGTCTGACTATGAATGACCTAAAGTAGCTAATAGAAGTAAATAAACCTTAGAGTGGTCTCAGAGTTGGCAAAAGTTATATAGAACACTAAATACTCCCTTTTTATAAAATAATATTTACATTTGTGTGCCTGCACTGGAGGCTATTAAAATTTTTTGTGTTTTACAGGAAGACTATGATAAATATGGAATCCGAATTAGAGTAAAATTTCGCAGTAGTACTCAACTGCATGAATTAACTCCTCATCATCAAAGTGGAGGTGAAAGAAGTGTTTCTACCATGCTGTACTTGATGGCCCTTCAGGAGCTCAATAGATGTCCATTCAGAGTAGTGGATGAAATCAATCAGGTACTGCACTGTGACTCTTTGGGGGAGCATACTGCGTCCTCTAAAAGATACAGATACAATGAATATTGTCATTACGATTTTAGGGTATGGATCCAATCAATGAACGAAGAGTGTTTGAGATGGTTGTGAATACTGCCTGTAAAGAGAACACTTCCCAGTACTTCTTCATCACACCAAAGGTAAGTAAACTCACTGAAGTCATCTGCTCACATGTCCCCTTTGGCTTAATTGTGGAGCAGATTTGGGCTGAGATGTGAATGTGAGCAGGAATACTCCCTAAAAGGAGATAAAAAGATTAAAGCAATCTACATTCATAGAAGGGACAAGTTTCAGTGACATACTTAATGAGAGGCTTCATCTGAAGAAGTGGGAGAGGAGGCACTTCATTATGTTCTAGAACCTAGATCTCCTTGCTTTTGATACTCATTCCCATTCTAGAAAACTTCCTCTAAGCTGCTGAGAGATGACTGGGAATGCAAACCCCAAAACTCTAGCTCTCTCTGTCAATGTCACATATTGCCCCTATCTTTATTCCCACTGCTACCCTAACCCTAAAGAGTCTTAAGTACCCAAACCCAAGGTCTTGTACTGACAGATTTTTATAACAACATAGTTATATTCAATAGAGAGTTTTCCATAATCTAGAACTGTTGCAATGGGAAATACCCTTTTGTTAAATCTAGTGCTGTGGGTAAGTTCTCAAGTAAATGTTCTCAAAGATGTATTTATTACTAATTACTTTTTTCAAGTAAATATTCATATATATTTCATTAGAGAGCCCATCAAAATGTACTTTTTGTACTTAATCATCTTTTATATCAGTTCTGTGGACTAGTCAGATCTGCCCCAATTCTGTTTCTTACCAAACTCCTTGTCTTAGCGACCAAACCTCCCTCACACATTTCACACACAACAGTCTATCACAGTACTTAGCCATAGAAGTTGTTGAAGTGTTTTGTGTAGAAGTGAAAGTGCACACTCTTTTCCAAGGTGTACCTATGGTCCTTGTTGATTTGTGAATACAGAGGATTTCCAGGCAACTGGAATATTCCAGGTCAGTTATTAGGCCAGGCTTTAATTATGCTTATTCAGGAAGTTGTCATAGTTTGGCAAGTTGATGTATTTGAACATATGTAAGGCTGGAAAACTGTCTTTCTGAGTATACAATTTAATTATGTGGCAATTTGTTTCAATCCTTCAGCTTCTACAAAATCTTCCTTATTCTGAAAAAATGACAGTGTTATTTGTCTACAATGGTCCTCATATGTTGGAGCCAAACCGATGGAATTTAAAGGCTTTTCAGAGGCGGCGGCGAAGGATTACCTTCACTCAACCTTCTCAGTGAAAGAAAAGGGAGGGGACTTCAGAGGTTTTCTTTTAACTGTTTATACGTGTGGCTCAAGTGAATAAAAGTTAGCAGATTTATTGAAAGAGAAAGATTGGTTATTTTTGAAA